CTGTTTCTGCCTCCAGGAGGGGCTGCTGGGGGGAGGGGGGGGCGGGGCAGCTAGGTCTTAAGAGATATGTCCTGGCCCTCTTTGTGAGGCTCATCTTGCCACCACCTGCACAGGGAGGCCCCTACCCTGGCGTGTGTCTGCCCAGAACCAGGGCAAAGCGCCCCTAAAGCGGGCATTCAGCACACATCTGCCGCAGCTGGAGGGGGAGGCAGCCTATTCAGAGAGGTTGGAACAAACAGAAATGAATTTCCAGATTGCTCCATTCTTCTCCTAAGCCCCTAGTTACTGCTTCTTGTGTGTGTGTGTGGTGGGGGGGAGGGGGCGGGCACTGGGCATCTGGAAACTCATTTGCACGCCAAGCACGAGGCCTGCTGGATCGCAGCGACGGAGGGACTGCTCGGCTGCCAGCACAAAGGATGGCCACAGATGGTGCTGCCCGCTGCCCGTGGCCGCGCCTCCCAGCCCTCACCCTTCCCGGGGGGCACCACGCCACGCAGGAGCTCTCCTGCAATGTCACGGGCCACCCCCCTGCTTGCTCAAGGACAGCCCTTGTCTTCCCCCTGCTAGTGGAGTGGTTTTCCGTTACGGGAATAAAAGGGAGCCGGTGGCATAGCAGAGCCTGGCTGTGAAGAGTCTGGAACGCTGTGAGCAGATGTGACATGTGCATTAGGCAGTCACGGTATCACACAGATGCCAGGACAGCCACGTTCCTACAATCAGGAGGCAAAGGGCAGGGAGCGAGGGAGGCAGCACCCTTCACCCCCTCGGCCTGAGCAGCCGGTGAGCACAGAGGCCACACTGGCAGACACATGGTGGCGGCTGCACGGGCACAGTGCATGCTCTCTCATGGTGCAAGCCAACGCAAGCTGTTCTGGGGCAAATGCCGGTTCATGACGACGTGTGGGAATGTGCAGCCAAACAGGGAGTCTGGGCACCGTCAGAAACCCTGGAGGACTGACGGACAGAGGCAGGTAGGGGATCACACAGGGACAGAGAGACAGCCCAGCAGGGTGGGGTGTGTCTGGATGTGCACTGCCTGTGTGCGTGCATCTGGGCCGAGCTGAGTGCGTGTGCTCTGATGGGCCAGCCCCACCTGCACGTCTCTCTGGCCCTGTGTCTCTGCTCTGGGCACTCTCTGCGGTGGGAAAGGAAAAGGGACCACTGAGCACAGGCTCTGGGACTCGGGAGGGATGCCAGGCACGAAGAGTCCCCGGATGGGGTGGGAGGGACCGGAAGGTGTGGTGCAGAGTGCATGAGGGTCCCCGCAATGGGAAGAGTTTCGGGAGGGGATACCAGCCTTCCACATCTCAGGGGCCCCTCGTACCGTGTAGACAGCCACCGTGGCCAGCCCTCTGGCCGGTCCTGGGAGGACCACTCACCCGGACAGCCTGGGTTCCACCCCTTAGAGCTACATGACCTTGGGCAAATCATACGAGCTCTCTGGGCCTCAGTTTCTTTACCTGTTAAGTAGGCATTAATGGCAATGCTCACTCCTTGGAGGGCTGTTGTGACATGTAAATGACACTAACCCCTACTAAGTGCTGAAAACAGTGTCTGGTGTAATAAGCATGGAGGCCCAGAAGGCACCGTGTGTGGTCTCTGGAGAGCAGGTGAGGGTCTGCAGATGCTCCCTGTTCCCACTGGCAGGAAAGCGCCTTGCGAATGGGAGGAGGCCATCCCAGCCCCCTCCAGGAGGTGTCAAGGCAGCCCCAATGGGCACCAGTGCCCCCGCTGCCCCAAGAGAGGGCAGGGACAATGGTAGGCAGCCCACGGGAAGTGGGGGCTAGGTGCCCTGGCCCTGTAGTCCCACAGGTGACAGTACTTGGCTCATGTCCTGCCACCGTGAGATTTCACACAGGCTGCTTCGTGGCTTGGAGACCCAGTTTCCCGATCTGTGAAATGGGCTTAACGGGGGCTGCCTGCCTCAGAGAATGGATGTGAGCTATGATTAGTGTTGCCAACCAACTACAGGGCTGTCCGAGCAGAAGCCAGAAAGGGAGGGAGGGTGGGCAAGGGAACAAAGGAACCCTGTAACCCACAGTAGTCCCAGAAGAGCAGCCCCCTGCATCCCACACCCACCACATAGCCCTGGGGGAGCTGGTGAGGCACTGACTTTGGAACCAGTCCATGAAACCTGATCCCAGCTCAGTCTCTACCACCTACGTGACACCTCGAGCAAGTTGCCTAATCTTCCTGTGCCTCAGTTTTCCCATCTCTAAAATGGGGTGGTGGTATTCTGCTCCCCACCTCATAGGGTAGTTGTAAGGATGAGCTGAGTTACCATCAGGCCCTAGTAGGTACTATCCACGTGTTTGCAACGATGACAATGGGCATCACTGACCCACTGGTAGATGAGTGACCAACAGGATGGGGGCCTCGGTGTCTCCGGCCACTTGGGGCCACACAACAGTCAAATGAACCGAAGAGGAATGCGGTTCCAGAAGCGCACAGGGGCTGGGGTGGCTGCAGG